GGATTCTTAGGCTTTTTTTTTTTTTTTTTTTTTACAAATAATGTAAGGAAGATTATCTTGGTGAAGATATTCAGGAACTGTTATTTAAGCAAAAGAGGCTGAAGCATTTTTTAAAATCCAGAACGACAAGATAATATTTGAATGGATCTCAGGCATATGCCTCCCTAATTCACTGAACTAAAAAACGGAGAAGGAGATACAGCATAATCAGACTTGCAAGATTGATGTCATTCTTGGCAAGTGTTCCACAAGTTAATGGGTGCCACTCTAGAATGCTTGAGAGTAGACAGTAGGCCAACACTGGAGAAGTCAGCAACAAAATAAACCTAAATCAGTCCCATAACGCAGACCACAAACTATTCATCTCCTGGTTCTTTGTGACACACTCTTGCTGTTAAGTACCATAAGTTTACCAGAGAGAAGCCAGCTCACCCTGGTCCACAGGTATAGCAGGGACATCCTTAGAGGCTGGAGAAATGCATATAATTTGGTTCCCCAGAACCTGGCCTTCCACTTCAGTGAGGTTTCCAAATACACAAATTATGCCAGTTGACAAGTCAGGAGCATCATTCACCAGCAAGCTGAGCTACAAAAAAAAAAAAAGTGAAAAGAAGAGGCATAAAGAAGGCGGCAATATGCACATTTCTTTCTATCCTGCAAGAAAACAGCAAAGTGTTGATTATTTAAAGTCATTATATTGCAACTGCAGTTGCTTCACTGACTTAATATCAGTAGGTAGAGCTGAGGTGGCATTTCTATCATAGCATGGAAGTACAAGGCTTTTAGTAAGACTTCAGACTTCTCTGCTTTCAACTGGGAAAATCTTTTGCATGTGCCATTTGAAATTAGAACTTTAAAAAACAAATTGGAGGTTGATCTGTAAGATATTTCTTTGGGGCCTGTTCTCACAAACTTCTCCAATCAGTTTACAGTACAGTCTTGATATAACAGACCATTTGGGAGAAGGGATATCCATCAAATCTGAATTGATGTAATTTATGTCCATAATTACATAATTACCATTTCCCCATCATTTGTGTCCATTTACCTCATTAGCATATACAGAATGTATTATACAAAACTTGGCATGACTTGGTTGTTTATACCCCAAAATGAATGCCCCCAAACCCATTCACAATGGTGTGCAAAAAGCTAATCAGCATTGGGTTATTAGTGGTCACCTCAAAGCATTGTACTTACAGCTGAAAGTTAACATGGAATAATTCAAACTGTTTTTCTATGAAATGGCTATGGAATAAGTCTTGCCTCTGAAAAAACAGTGTAATTGTCAAATAGAAAATTGCTTGTTTCAAGAGTTATTTGGTCTTTTCCAATTTATACTCTCAAATATATATGAAAACCAGAATGTATTTGTGCTCAAATTTTGCTCTTTTTAGAATTCCTCAAACCAGGTTTCAGTTAAAAAAATGTATGTCAGAATGTCCAAATGAGGAAAACATAGAATATTTGCATTGCATTGGAAGAAAATACTTTCAAAATGTGTATACCATAGGAAATTGGTTTTTAAAAAAGCTTTCAAAGAGAAATACATCAAAACACAAAACAGAATTAGATTTCTTAAAGGCCAAATTCACAATGATGTGAATAAAGTTACTTTCAGGAATTTGAGACACAAAATGAAATTAACTGTTTCAATCTGTATTACAGGCAGTCCTCACTTAATGACCACAATTGGGACCAGCAACACTGTCACTAAGCAAAGTGATTGTTAAGCGAAACATTTAATGACCACACCAGACTTACAATGTCAGTTCCATTGTGGTTAAGTGACTCACCCGCAGTCATTAAGCAAGACATCATGTGACCAGTTGCAATTTTATTGGTGACTTCTCCATTGATTTTGCTTGTCAGAAGCTGGCTGCGAAGCATGAAAATGGTGATAACATGACTGTGGGACACTGTGATGGTTGTATATACCTGCCAGTTGTGAAGTGCCCAAATTTCAGTTACATGACTGCAGGGATGCTGCAATGGTCGTAATTGTGAGGACTGGTTGCAAAGTTTTTTCTTCAGTGCTGTTGTAACTTCAAACGGTTGCTAAACATGGCAGTCATTAAGTGACAACTACCTGTATAATTATACAGAGCTGAGGCAGGAAATGTTAGGTAAAATTATTTTACTGGTACTATCCTAGACTAGAAGCGATCACATCCTCTTAGTACCTCAAATGATGAGCATAAGAAGCAAGTAATTACCTGCCTTGGTTACCTACCGGAAGGCTGTGCTCAGAAACTGGGATGCTGCTAGGTTGAACAATGATACTCATGCACTGGTTAATGCTGGCTGCAAATCGGAAAGGTTCATTGGCTCGCTCACATTTGTCCCTCCTTGAACATCTGAAATCAAGTGCATAGAAAAGTGTAAATATATAATGGGTACATCCAAAGTTATTTATATAGCCTAATATTCTTCTTCCAACAGTAACTGTTAACCTGTGATAGTAGAAAAATGATCATATTTATGGAACAATTGATCCTCTATTAGCATTTTATGATATATGCTGGGTGTTTCTCTACATTTCTTCTAAGGATTTATCTCATTTTTGTGAGTAGAAGGTAGTGGAGATGGCAGAGTGTATTTAGCTATAATACAAGGTTTCTCAGCAATGTCTTATTTGTCATATTTGCAATGCCTTCCACTGTTTACTAGCCTTGGAGAACAACACTTCTTAGTTTTATGTAATCACTTACTAGCCACAATATTTTAGAGGCTTTCATGATGTTAAATAGATTAGTCACATCTGGCCTTAGTCTCACACAAGGGAAAGAGCTATCAAATAAAGCAGAAATGGGTCAGCTATGGAATACCCAAGAACAGGGCATTAGAATGAAGAAAATAGGGGTGGCCAGTAAAAATGGCTATACAATCAGTGAAGCTGTTTTATTTGCTCCAATTGTTTCTGTAGAGTTTTAATCAAGGTGTGCTTGTTGAAGGAACTGTTTTCAAGTCATCAAAGATAAGTAATAGCTGTTTTTACATTGTACATGCAAGACTCAGACATGCATAGGTACTTGAACTTCATAGCTGGTTAGATTTTTCTGCTAGAATATGCTGACTTCATTAAAGACCCTCACTACCAGCAAGTAGATGGCTTGCTCATTTCTCTAACTATTCTATAGAAATAAAGCAGCCCCACTCCAGGCTCAAAGAGAGAGACTTAGATTCAAACTTTGTTGAGTTTGTAGGGCAGGAGTGGGCAACCTATGTCTGGTGGCCATATCCCACTTTCAAACACTTTTTTTGCAATTGCTCCAAAGATCATACTGCTGAAACATCTAGCAAATGTCTAGATAACACAAATTAAAAAACAAGCAGTATAGGATACTACTGTCTTCAGTCTCATCTCTCTGCTATCCTTCCCTCATCTCTTCAAAAGAAAATAAGAAAGGGTTATAAATTGTGGACTCAGACAATCCAATGATATCATATAAGTACTCTGCCTTTGAGAGATTTCACCAAAATAAATAGACAAACAAAAAGAAAACACATGTGGGTCCACATGCAAAAATGTTACCTTCCTCTAGTGGAGGGAAATTCAATTGTTTTGTATATAAGCTACTCTGTATGAACTTGTGTCCAGATCTGGTACATGAATTGCAACTATTTTCAGTAGAAAAAATAGGGGGAAGGAAACAAGTGATTTTTAAGGCTTTCAGACTCCAAAGCAGTTATTCTCCAAAGACTTTGACACCCTTAGCTAGGAACAGATTTTCCAGGGAGACAATCACATTTTGAAAGATTATCTATGTTGAAGCCTAAAACCGGACCCTTACCACACTCTGCAGACTTTGTATGATAATTACTTGGAAAAAAGTTCTTGGTCATGGAAACTGAATAGACACCATTGGGTTCTGTGCCTACTGATAGCCAATCATCATTCTCAAGCAGTAAAAAAGAAAAAAGGAAAGGAAAGCAGGAACAGCGCACCATCTAACCTTTAATTAAAAAGCAAATCTGTGGTTAATTAATCTCATTCTCATAAAGGTGAAGGGTCTTGAGGTCTGGATTCCTTCCCTCCATATTGAAGGCATTAGATTCATGCCTGAATTACCCAGGTGCTGTCTTTTCCCCAATGGCCTCCTTGAATAGAAGCCATTACATGTCACAAGCTGAGTTATGAGCACTGCAGCTGGCATGTATTGGACACCTGGCTCATCACCAAAGTCATTTCATTGCAGAAAGACCCCAGAGAGGACTGAAACTCTTCAAGATCTATCAAGATGAAGAAAAAGGTAGAGAAAAGGCTAATCCTCCTTTCATCTTTCCATTTCTTTCATTATGAGAGGTTAAGAGGTCACTGAGCACACCAAGAGACAACTCTGAGAAACTGCTAGAAGAGCGGTTACCCAACCAGCACTATGGATTTTTTTCTGTCTCTGATACTGCAGCAGGATATGTAATAATGTATATGGAGAGAAGATCCAGAACTAAACACAACATTAGGTGATGGATGTTATTGTCCTAAAAAAAAAACCCTAAGAAAAAAATTGGAAAGCGGATGGTAAGAGGGTTCCAGTTAAGTTACAGTACAAACCCAGATGAGGAAGCTGAATGCTTTCATTTGATATTTACACAATGTTGGTTTATTATACAAAAATATATACTTCTACTTCATTAAATCTAATATATACAACTAACCTTTGTCAAACCTAATATATATAACTGTGCCTAATGATATATTTTAGTGACAGTCATAGGTATGAGTAAAAAGTGACAATACTTAAACTAACAAGTTTCCCTTTTTCCTCTGCCTACCTTTTCTAGCAAAAAGGCAGTATTGCCACAGTTCTTTCCCTAGACCTCACTTTTAAGGACTAGGAATTCTGTTCCTTTACTCAAGATCTAATGTGCTTTTACTCTACACTTGTAGCCCTGTATGGTCCTCTACCTTCCAGCCCTTATTTTTCAGTAGGTGCTGCTGAAATTTGAAGTACCCTTATAATTATACCCTTTTGAGTTGTTTCTCTGGTCCTCTCAGTCCTTATCAGTTTGTAAGAAAGAAAAAACAATTACTTGTTGTTAGGTATAGCTGGTCTGCATCTTTGACAGGCTCATAAGATTCTACTGCTCCTTTCTCAGCTATAGTAGTTTCCAAGTATCTTTGCTCACTCCACCAACTGTTTTGTTCTCCCCTCCTCCAAGCACAACTGCTGCTTCAGCTCTCCAACACAACAACAACCCCTTCTGTCTTCCACCAACACCCACCCTCTGTGCCTTCAACCTTCCTTTTTATCTCCCTGCAATACAGGTGTGGTCCTTTGCTCTCTTAAAGTCCCAGGGAACACAAAACCATAAGGAAGGAAAACTTACATCAGGAGCCTTGAGTCTTTCCTTCCACAGGGTGCTTAAATAATGGGCTTTTCTGTTACACTTATCACTCACATTATTGTTGTTTATCACATTAATTAAGCTTGTACTTTGCTATTTGGATTGGCTTATTTTAGTTATTTGGGCGTACCTTAAAACCCTGCAAGTATACTCGGTACAACAAATCTTGTTTATGTCTATTCTTGGCTACTCTAAGCTACTTCCATATTCTTAGTGTTACTGACTAATCAGATAGTAGTAGTCAAAAAGACTGTATGACATGATCTTGAGTTTCCTTCCAACATTACAGTCATAGGACTCTATGATTAACAATATAATTTAAAAGTGTACATAAAATACTAACATAATCTTTTGCCTGGAATTTCTCAGGGTTTCAAGCAACCAATACTTAAACATGCTAGCACTGAATGAATAAAAAGCACTGGCAAAGGTGGGGCTGCCTTCTTCCCATTTGATGAACTATTTGTGGAGTCCTTGGAGTTCTCTGACCTTGGTTGTTTTCTTGCAGGCATTTTGTTACCCAGCTAGGTAACATCTTCAGTGCTAGAATGGCACAGGGTTAGCTCTCTGTTTATATACAGTAGTTGATGTGTGTGTGTGTGTGTGTTTTCCCTTGGTTGTTCCTTGGTTTTTTTCCTAGATGTTACCTAGCTGGGTAATGAAACATTTGCAAGAAAATAGCCAAGCTCAGAGAACCTCAAGGTCTCCACAGTTCAACCCTGAGCTACATATATTCTCTTCTATTGATGAACTATTTGTCTGTAGTGTGTTGCAGGAACATGGTGTCTGGGAGTCCACTGGGTCCAGTGTTTCTCCTTACCAGTGACCTGCCTCAAAATCTGTATTGACTATACTGCAGTTCTGGATAGACACTGAATGCCGCTTACACTGTCTAGTGCCCTTCAGGTATGTGGACCTCCTCCCCTAACCACTAACTAACACAACTCATGAGAGTTGAAGTCCAACATATCTGGAGGGTACCAGTCTAGAGAAGGCTACATGGTAGCCATTAGCACATTTTTCTGGAAACAATTGTTTGTATAATTGATACGCTGAGATTTTGTTTTTCACCTACTGCTGAGCCCACATTTAATGGAAAGGATGCAGACTGCAAAAGCCAGTTCCTCTGTTTTCTCTTCCATTTGGTACAGCTAGATTCAGCCTTAGATGAAACATCTACATTAGTAGACATGCTGACTGCTCAACAAAGAATCTTAATCTTCCCGTGACAAACTTCCTCCAGATGAGGTGACAAGAATAGATCACAAAAACTGGAGTCTTTATTACTAAAAACCCATTTGCTTCTGACTTAGAAATAGCATTCAGTGATTGGGGGGAGGAGGGGAGGCGCCAACCATTTTTCCTTTGCAAACAGCCCCAGAAATACCTGGCAAATGATACAGCTATTTCCTCTCCTCCAGTACTTGAATAACAGACCAAAATATGAATGCTGCCAAGGAAAAGAATTATTGTGCTTTAAGTGAATCTGTGAGATTGCTCTAAACTGTGAGTTCTTGAGTGGAGCCCTTATCTCATTGACTTGCTGCAGTGGCTTTTCTTTTTTTCATCATACTATTTATGGCAACAGCCCTAACAGAGATAAATAGATCTGGACACAATGCTAGCAAAACGGCAGCATATGGAAGAGCCCCTGTAGGCTATAGAAATCATGGGATGAAGGAGATTCTTTAGCAGTCTTCTCATGGGTGCTAGCCACTGCCAGATAAAAATGAACAGAAGAAAATGAGGAACAAAACTTTCATCCCTTTTAAATCTTAAGGCAAAGGTTTACATCATAAGCTGGCCCTCTAGGTGTTGAACACTTTGTATATAATGCATTTTATGGCAACTGCTTAAACCAAACGTGTCTTTTCCTGGGATTGTACAACTTCTTCCTGCAGCTGCAGTGATATCCTAAAAGAGACACAATTGTTTTAAGGGGCTGCTGAAAGGTGCAGTGTGAGTGTGAACACCTCTGACACGCCGTTTTTCCCTTCAGATCCAAAGCACTGCACAGTCCCAATGTCTCCCTGTTTAACTGAGAAGTTTACCGTCCCTCAGGCTGAATAATGAATGTTACTAATGAAGCACCATTTCTTTGGGGTGGTGAGCTTGCAAAGATATTGACTGTGCCAAGAACAGAATTGCTACTGATTATTTGCTCAAAAGAAATTGAAGGCAGGTTTAGAGTGTCCTGCTCAGGAAATACACAGAAGGGATCTACAATTTGTGATGGGATATATGAAGGCCTGCGCAGCTGGAGGCTCTTCACGTTGAAGCAAGATCTGCCAGATAAAAATGAAGTAAAATCACAGGGCATTTCATGAGTGCAAATAGGCACTCTTCAATACTATATGAAGAGGGGAAAGAACAACATTGCCTTGGCATACTTCACATCACATTAGTTGAGATGACTGGGAAAGAGAGGACAAATAATCATATACAGTATATGATTAAGAGGAATACAAATTATATTTATGCCATCGTTTGATAAATCCTTGCTAATTCTGATCTCCCAACTAGTCTTGGGACTGTTGCCTTATATTTACAGAATGTTGGCAACAGGGATGTTGCAAAATCTCAAGAAGTTTCACTTCTAGAAATCTAGATCTCCTCCTTTAGAAAGGGATTTAGCAAACATGCATAAGAGTGCTATAATGTACTTTTTAATAAGCTTTTGAACCTTTAAGAATTACAAAAAGGTGATGGGGAGAAATCTGTTGGGCTTCTGTTGACTTGAACTGCAATAGGGAAAGCTTTTAAGTCACTGTGCAAAATAAGATGTTTTTAGGACTTTAAGAAACTATTTTTTAATACCAAAAAGGAAACTGAGGCTTGGCTTTTCTTTTTCTTTTTCTTTTTCTTTTTCTTTTTCTTTTTCGCTTTCTTTCTCTTTTTCTTTTCTTTCTTTTTTTGAAATCTGTATATTGTTTCATTTTGAGTACAAGGCGGTGATAAAAATTGGCATGAGAAGCAGTATTTTCTTTTCTTTTTAAAGGAGATGGTAATAAGCACGGATAATGCAATGCTTTCTGGCACAGTGTGGCATTGCAGTAAACCTGCTGCATGTGGGTTTTTGATCCAGTCAGGATATTGTAGCAAGGCCTTCCTCCACTATTTCCTTATCCCTCTTTCAACACCTGTTGCATAGCCCTTTTGCCAGCTGCTATTGTGTTGGTCCCCTTTGTCTCTACCACGCCTAAACATTTAATAGTGTTGTTAGGAGGGCCTAAAAGATTTTTAAAATAAACAAATAGACAAATCCTCTCTCTTTTCTGTAAGTGAACTCCTGGCCTCTCCCTCTTTTAGATATTGGAAACCTCTTCTGCTAGAAGAAGCATGGTCGTTGTTAAGACAAAAAAAAAAAAAAAAAAAAAAGCTAAGCACTTCAATAATTCAGGGGCACATCTTCCTCAGATCCCCTTAAGATGTTGCCTAAAAAACCTTTTTCCTTTGTCTTAACAGACATCCTCAAGCTCAGGAGAGAACACCTGGGCAATTTCATTTAAAGCAGAGGCTGAAGTATCTAGCCTTTCTGAAATTCTAAGGCGTATTTAAGCAGTGATTCTGTTAAGTTACAGTTGAAAAGAAGTGACTGATGTTAGGAAAGTCTCTTGGCAGGTGTGCATTAACTTGCTCTGTGGAAAAGAATAGACAGGAGAAGAAAACAAAGTATGGGGAAAGTAGCTGCCATTACAAATTCAGCCTGAGATGAATTGTTTTTGATAAAGATTGTGGTTGCTTCTTGAATATGTTAAAATAAAACCCCTCATGAATACACTTGCTTTATAGTAAAAATACATATCTTTTTAATTTAATTAAGAGTTGGAGATCTCCTACCACCACCCCTTTATTTAGGAGGCTAAATGACACATCACAATTCCAGCCTCACTACAAACAGTATTACGCTAATTCTGCTCAGTTTCTTTTAAAATAGTGTTATAATTCTGTTGATTAAAAGATTGGTATATTCTTGGTTCCATTCCTGAAGTCAGTTGTTTTATCTTTATTATCTTAACTGTGTTTATGTTTCCTTTATAAAGCAGACATTTGCTAAAGTCCAATGATACATACAGCTTAGAAATCCTTACAGGAATTGTAAGGGTTTTATTAAATAATAACGGGATGCATGTGGAATGAGTTAAGAGGTGTATGGTTGATCTTATGATAACCATCTTTTGTTGATATTGAACTTACGTGTGATGCAGAGCACACCAGCCACAGTGAGGGTCTCCTGAACTCAGACATTCTCCACAGGTTGTATACTGTTCACAGGATTCAACAGGAATCTGGGACACCTAGACAGAGACAAAGAAGAAAGCAAACACCTAAGACAATGGTAGTTACATTGTTTCTGCAATATTTCAAGAAAGCAAGCCTAACACTGCTACATTTTATATATAAAATGAGTCATCAATGTTAATTTAAGACTCATAGCATCAGATAGATAAATAATCTGCCGTGTCTCCCTTTGCTTTCAGTGAAATAACAGGAAAAGTGACACACAGAAAGGCAAATAAGATATAACAATGACTCCTTGTTAAGTGTGGTTATCTATTCAGAAGACAGCTTTGGAAATGAATGGTGTATGCTCCATATATCTCCTTTACTCTCTGGAGAGAATGTCACCACCTAAATGCAATTCTTTGATAAGGAGTATTTTGATACAACTGGTTAACCAGAATGTCACTTTATCCAATGGTTACGTTCACACAGTGTGTGAAGCTTAGTGCAATGTATGAAGCTACAGTACTAATATTTGAAATAAGATTCAAACTATGTTTCACATACCTATTAGAAGGATGTCATATTTAACCTTAAGCACAGTTAAAGAGGTGCTGAAGTGTCCCTTAACTGTAAATAAAGTGGAAGGGATTTGCTAGAGGAGTGGTTGTCAGGAGAAAGAACATGCTGTAATGTGCTAACTATGGAAAACAAGTAGTCATTTTTATGTCTGTTGTAACCCAATATGAATTGCATTAGCCAATTTGCTTCTTAATACATGCTCAGATTATTCTACAGATCATTAGGATATTTTCTTTTTCAAAAATATTAGTATCCTTTAAACAATATGCTTGGTCAATGAAGCTCTGCTGAGCGGCTGAGCTGAAATGAAACATATATTCAGTTAAAAAATGATTTCCGATTAATCATCACAAAATATTCCAGGCTACAACAAATTACAACGGGATCAACTCTACCCCTCAAAACATGCTGCCACTTCCCTCCAATTAATGAAATCATACAAGATGCTATGTAAGAGTGTTAAAACCCAGGTTATAACAATGAAACCCCATGAAATTTTGAAGTCTTGTGTCAATTATACAATAACTAATGATTTCTTTCTTTAACTTGTTTTGGATATATCCTACTTTTCAGTAGTGATTTGTGTTAGAAATGGCTCAAAATCAATCAAGCTTAAATATTAATCATATTTTAAATAAAATTCTACAAAACCTAATAGCAAATTAGAATAAGGCAAAATCAACAGTTCAACAAAGAGAACATGTATTCAATTATACAATCGAAAAATCAAGACCAAACATGAATACAATGCAAAATCACTGGTTAAAAACTTCTTTAAACAAAGCCCTGCTAACTCATCCTCCACTGTTAACACTTCTCTTGTTGCATTTCAAAGAGCTATCACCGTTTGGCACACATACAAAAGTGTTGCAGTTGAACATTCTCCTTTCTTTCCTCCAAAGGAGACTGGTAATGGCAAGAGGAAAATGCTGAGCAGTGGCAACAATGCCAAACTCTTATTCTGTCTATGGAATAGTTCCTACATGAACTATGTACACAGGACAATCAAGTTTGTATTAAACACATTCTCTTTAAGAAAATCCTATTGTTTCTTAAGGATTAACAGCAGAATGCAGTGACGGCCAATATATAATCTTTTAATTATATATCAATTTAACAGGATATTTCCAAACTGCAGTACTCTGCAATACTCTATAATGGCTGAGGATAAAGTGATTTGTTGAAAGCCACACCATGAATCAGTGTTAGAAGAAAATGTCAGGACTCCTAAACCCCATGAGATTCTCCATTTATTTAAAGACATTAAACTTTGGACATTCATATCCAGATATGAAGCAATATTCCCATTGTTGAAATTTAACAAGATCCTATTTTAAGGCAAAAACTCTAGAGAGAGTGGAACATATTAGGAAGCAGTTCAAATCCATATCAGTACACAGATGAACAATAATAGACCCTGTAGAAGTACATGACATTTTATATGTGATATCTCACTGTGCTGCTTATAAACATGTAATAAACTTGTGCAGGGTGATAGCTGAAGTTTCAAAATAAAAACAGAATTCCCTATTGCAGCTAATATTTATTTTTTTATTTTTTTATTTCAATTTGTATAGCCACCCATCTCAGACCAGTGACTCTGGGAGGCAAATATTCATAAAAACAGTTAAAATCAATACAAATATAATACAAATATATAAGCTGAGAAAATTATAACCTTAGGTATCAATATAGCCAGTAAACAGGGCCCTTAAAACACTCGGGGCCACAGGTCTTCAAGACCTTATGAAAGGCCAACAGGGTCAGGACTATCCTAATCTCTGGAGGGAGAATGTTCCAGAAGACAGGGATTATGGCAGAGAAGGCACCCCTCCTAGTCCCCACCAGCTGACATTCCTTAGCTGACCAAATTGGATGGGTAGAAACAACTGGGAGGAGATGATGCCTCAGGTAACCTGGTCCCAAGCCACGAAGGGCTTTAAAGGTGACAACCAGCACCTTGAATTGCACCCAGAAACACACTGGCAACCCATGCAGCTCACGAAGCAGTGGTGTTACATGTGTCTAATATTCGATACCATTTACTACCCATACAGCTACATTCTGCACCAGCTGAAGCTTCTGAATGCTCTTCAAGGGCAGCCCCATGTACAGCGCATTGCAGTAATCCAGTTGGGAGGTCACGAGGGCATGAGTGACTTTGAGCAGAGCCTCCTGGTCCAGGAATGGGTGTAACTGGCACACAACCCAAAGGTGTGTAAAGGCCCTCCTAGCCACGGCTGCTACCTGATCTTCTATCAGGAGCTGTGAGTCCAAGAGGACCCCCAGATGAAATATACATATCCAGATGACTCCCTTGGCTTCACAGGTGGCATATCATGAGAAACATACATATAATTGCCTATGGACATTTGGCCTATTAGTAATCCTAAAAGCAGGGCAGTTTCAAAGCAATCCACAGATTTAAAGCTGTTATGTGGCATGTTGTTTCTCGGCAGTAAGGAATATCAACACGGGAGCTGACAAATGTAATAGAAAGGGAAGTTAAAATGAAGAGGATGGCAAATGGGTAGCAAAAACTGATCAGTTACAAATTAATGATGCCATCTTACTGCCTGTTGGTACTTTGAGCAATTATGGAGTAATCTAGCAAGGCCAGAGAACAAGGTACAGCCTGTGTTGACAGATGGCCCAGCAGTCCAAGCTGAACACATCAAGGATCAATTTTTGGCTTATGCAAGGGGAACCTGTTTGTTAGTGCCTCAAGCAATACTTCTCTTGGCTGACTTTCAGATTAAAAAGCTGTTCTACCAAATGCCCAACCTCATGAATTATCAGGAAGGAGGGTGTGACTGAAGATGACAAGGTATGTGACACCATCTGGAGGAAAAATATACTCTGCCATCTCATTCTTAGGAAGACTTCACTCCATGATTTCAGAAAGTAGATTGGTAAAGTTCCTAGCATTCAGGGATGTTGTAGGGTTTGAAAAAATGCAACCAAAATGGACTGTAAGCATGAGAAGCTGAAATGACTTACATGTAATGTAAAGTTAGTTGGGATTTTCAAGTTCAATAAAACTGCAACTGGGGGTACAGGAAGACACATGATAGAGTTGCTAATTTACTCATAACTAAATTATAAAATTAGTTACTGCAAGATGTAGTGAGGGCCACCACCTGGCATGGTTTTAAAAGAGAATTAAATAAATTCATATAGGAACATATTATTAATGTTTATTAATAATATTGGCTGAAGCTGCCAGTAGGATCTTCTAATAACTCCTGGTGGGAAACAATAGTAGTAGTAATAGTAGTAATACTTTATTGTATTTTTAATCTGCCTAATAATTGCAATTCACAGGCAGAACATACAGTTAATTAACACATGAAATAAAAACAATAAAACATTAAGTAGCATAGAAATAATATTATAAAACATATAAAAGCCACTATCTGATATAATATGAGCACTTTAAGTTAAAGACTTAACTTACTGTAAAATCTTGCAATTCACTGTATGCTTTTATTTAACATTCTTCAGTTTTATTTAGTAGATGAACATGCAAGAGTCATTTATTATTATTACAATACAAATACAATACAAAATACTTTAATGACCC